ATAAGTCATTTTTTAATAGTGCTTAAGGTAATTTATATTATTTTTCAGAAATTGACTATTCCAAAAGAAGAAATTGTCTATTTTAAATTATTTCAATTAAAACACAGTATGTGAAAGGATCAAATATTCATAAATATATGCTATCAAGTATGGATATAAATATTAAGCAAAGTATTTGTAGACATCATATGGCTCCAAGAGTCCATTTGTCATATGAAAAGCAACTAACTACAACTGAGAGGTTTTTGTTGGGTTTTTTTTTTTTTTTTTAAATTTGTAAGTTTTTAAACTTAAGTGTGCAAAACTTCAGTGCAAGAAATGCTGTATTGTTCAAAGTCTAAAAAACAAATACAACTGCTATAAGGAACCCAAAAAGGTTAGAAAAATGACAAAAAAGCAAGTGCATAGTCACTGTATATTTTAAATTTTAAAGATGCACATTAAACAGCTTTTGAGCACTATTATAAAGTGAAAATTATAGCAGTAACACAGCCTTATGAGTAAGTTTCTAATAGTACATTTTATTTCCATTTTTAAATTGGAGAAACCTCAAGTAAGGTAGCCTAACTGTCCCTTTAGGAAAGCTGAAACTAAAATCAGGATCTACGTTTTTCACCTGTGCATAATTGAGCTCAGAACCAAATCATTTCAGCTTGATGTGCAAATGTTCAATCTTTAAACTGTGGTAATTAATGCTCAGTAGACTAGGCACTGGGAAGTCTAAGTTCTGACCTTCAGCTAATTGGGTAAGTCACAGAATCAAGTGAGAAGCAAAAAGAAGCTTGAGTATCAAAGGTAGACATCCGTTCTGACTGGGTTGAATACTTGACAGTTCTAACATAATTGTTCTATTTTCAAACAGTTTAAGGGTATGATGGAAATTTCACATCTCCCTTTCAAGCCCATTTTTATATTAAAAAAAAGAACAAGAAAAATACAACCCAATAGATAAGTTCTTTGTAGCGCATCCCTAATGCTTTTTCTGTAATTAGTTAAGAATTTATAAAATTTAAAACTTTTTTTAAGAAATATTCCCACAACAGCTTTAAAACCATATTGAGGCAGTGACACAAATGTGAAATAATTTTCCAGAGCATTAACAACAGTTTGCAGTGGACTTAAACTAGGTATCTTGGCTGTTACATGCTACATAACCTTCTCAATTTTCATTAATAGAAAACTTTCTTCTAAAAATACTGGTGCGCGGAAAACACACTAAATGTCTATTTAGCAAAGTGATCATCACTTGGTGTCAAGCAGTGTGCGCTGTATCATTGTCCCAGCTGATGCTTGGTCACCAATCAACATTTAATACGGGACAAATGTAAAAGCAGGTGAATTCTTTTGCTTAGTCCACTGAAAAGGTTGTGATCCTGAATTAAACAAGACCAATCTAGCCTCTTTTACTTAGGCTTTTCTGCATCACAGGCTGTTGAATGACAGCTCATGGGCCATATGCAGCCTATTGCCTTTTTTTAACAGTAAAAGCTTATTACAACAGCCACACCCATTCCTTTACCTGTAGTTCTGTAGCTGCTTTGTGTTACAGTGATGGAGTCACGCACTTGTAAGGGAGGCCACTTGGCCCACAAAGCCAAAAATGTTTACTCTGGCTTTTACAGCAAAAGTTTGCCAACTCTTGTTCTAAACGAAAAGTGAATTTTATGAAGACTTATGGCCAGAAAGGGAATATAAGTTCTTTAAATTTTTCAACATGTTTTTATGTATACTGTCCACATCAGTTTTGTAAAATTCTGGGTAGTTATTACAAGTTAATTCACTTTTTTCCTGTAAATCCAGAGTAATTTTTTTTTTAAATTAGAAGGGGTTAGGTTGGCAGCCTGCTGCAATCTTGATTACACCCAGGAGTGAGGATGGGAGAGAGGGGCCAGAGTAAGCAGTCACTTGTTTCACACATTCAATATTAGGTTGATTCAGAATTTTAAAATGTAACCACAGGCTTAAAGAGGACTAGTCCTAGGCTGGGGGATATTTTAGGCCAAAGAGCAGATCTTTTGAGTCAGGCAGAAAGAGGTGAAGAGGTGAGTGATTTTTTTAGGAAGGAGCAAAGACATGTGGTAACATATGTGTATTACTGCTGTAGGCTACAAAACCTAAGTTAAGCTGAATAGGACAAGTTGTGTTAAGTGGAAACTTTAAAATTACATCCTGCTTCTCTCTATGGCCAATCCTTGCTTCTGCCCCTCCCACTAAGTAGGAAAAAGGAAAGTGTGTCTCCCTCCTTCCTTTTTCCATCAAGTCAAAAGATACGGATTTTGGGAAATTGGGTAGTTTGTACTTGGTGTCAAATGCACCAAGATGTTTCTAGCATTTTGTTGGCAAAACAGGACCATTAGATCATACAGATCATCAAATCATTTTACTCAAAATCAGCAGCAACCTAGCTTTGGATTTGGTCTACTTCTCTGTTAACTATTCTCAGTATCGCAAGAGGCTGACACACTGCCCACTTTCGTTCATTTTGGCCCTGTGAGCTACACAGGGTCTGCTGAACTCCTACGTGCCAGACATTATGAAAAACATGTATTTATGTACGTTCTATCCGGCTACTCTCTACAGTAATAGCATTCTATAACTAAAACAAGCTGATGAGAAAACTGAGGTCCACAGAAGTTAAGTGAATTGCTTAAGGTCTCTTGGTGGTCCTTTGTTGATACTTTTGTTTTCATCTGTTATTTCATAAAAACATAGGCAATGAGACAAACATGAGCCCAGCATCACTAAGGATCAGGGAGTAAGACTCAGGATTGGTGGCTGACTAGAATTCTCAGGAACCAAACAGAGCAGTCCAAAAGGACACAGCCTTTAGGGAACTGAGATAAATGTAAACACTTAAATTCAATTTAAAAAACTGTTACTGTATAATCTCATAATGTTAACAAAAATAGGCCACTTTTATCAGATTGGAAAAGACTTTAAAGCAGTACTCAAAGATCTTCACAAAGATTTATGAACAAATGACATTCATTATAGCTTAATAACAGTAAACATTTTCCAACAACTCAAATGTCCAACAATATATTAAATTATGGAACATGGAATATGATGGAGCCATGCTTTCTAGAGGAAAATGTCAAAAATGTTTTTAACCCAGCACAGACAATCATATAAATGATTGAGATTTTTTAAAACTGTATATATAGAGTCTAGGATATTTATATCAAAATGTTTAATGGTGGTTGCAATATTGGGTAATTTTAATCAAATTCTTATTCTGTTCTGTACTTCAAAAATATATTCCCATTTAAGAGAACATTTTATCTGAGAGATTTTTTCCAAGAATTAACTCAATTTTGCCATACCCTGCAGCATGTGGGAAATTCCCTGACCAAGAACTGAACCTGTGCTCCCTGCAGTGTAAATGCAAAGTCTTAACCATTGCACCACCAGGGAAGCCCTCAAATTTATTTGATAGGGATAAATTGGAAACATGTCAGCAACAGGTCATAGGTAAATTATCACACACCCATAAAAAGTATTTTGCAGCCACTGACACTTGCTTATGAGAAGTTCGTATTGTATAGGAAACAATTCAGGAGGAAGAACTGATATAAAATTCTATAGAATGGTCAACACTAAAATATAGATGCTAAAAATAGAAAGACTAATAGCAAACAATACCAAAATGTTGACAGGTCTCTCTGGATAGCAGATTATTAGTGATTTTTAGTTTCTTTACACTTTTCTCTGTTTTCTGAACTTGTAATTGTTTTATATTCAGGAAAAAAACCTTTAAAAAAACTTCTTTAACACAGTATTAGAAGTATGACCCAGTGTGGTGCCTTGGAAACACACCAACTTAACACCTCATTGCGCTTTGCTGTTTCTCCAACAATTGTGCTCTGAAGCTTAAGAGGAAACCTGAAGTAAAAGGCCGTTTGTACATGGCAGTTTACTTCTGTTAGCATTTAAAATTTTCCCCAGCCTTGATAGAAGATACAAAACATAGACTTGTTTGGGAAGGGAAAGGGAGTAGCAGACAAAACAGATTTTTATCTGCATTGTTTTAAATATATTTACTTTCAAAGAAAGCTTAAGACCTTTAAGAAAACATTTGTGGTATCCCTGGAGTATATCTTGAAGAGCTACTACATAAGCCTACAAACTGACATTTTATATTTTGGGGGGCCAAAATTACTAAGGTGGTAGCTGGAAAATAGCCAAGACAACAGTGGGTTTTTATCACATACCCCTAATTGCAGAGGCTGAAGGATTTTCTTTAAATGCTTATTGATGACTGGTTAGAAAATGAGTAATAATTTTTGGTATTTCCTAGGTGAAAACAAAGCCTCTGAAATCAACTCTGCTACAAAGCCATTTTCAGGCAATCAAGATTAAAAATACTGATTTAGATGCGTTGTCTTCTGGTGAAGATGACTGGCAGCACTTGGTAACAAATCAAATAAATGAAACTGAAAAGTTTCTAAGCTTAGAAAATGACAACCAACCTAAAAAAAGAAAAGCAGAAGAGATGGCAGAAAAAACAGATTAAAATAATGTTGATAAATGCTTTCAGAGTGAATTATTTCATTGAAGTATAGATGTGGTTTCAATTGGAATACAACTGTTATATTTAAAGCTTTATAGTTGTACTCACTTTACCAATTTTTTTCTTTGATGAAATTATATACTGTTGTGTTTTCACTCAATAAATGCTTCATTTAAGACAGCTAAGATTGCAAGGTTTTATGTTAGCACTGAATGAATGTTAGCATTTAATTCCCTTAAGTTAAATCTGTCTTTCCTCCATATACTCTTTCATCAAAGCTCTTGGTTGTATCTCAAAACCCTTCCTTACAGAACACAACATATGTATTATACACAACAGACAGTGACCCTTTGTAATTTATTACTTTCTATGCTCTGAAGATGGTGATTTCTTTTAAATATGAGATAATAAATGTCCAGACTGTAGTCAGATTTTAGCCTATGTTTTACTATGATTTTCCAAAAAGAACAAAATTATACAGCGTAAAACTTCAGGTGTCAGAAAGACTCAAAAGGCTGTTTTTCACTTTGTTCAAGTTTTGTTTCCAGGCATTAAGCGTGTCATAGAGTTGTTGCCATTGCTGTTTTCCAAATGTCCGATGTGTGCTGTGACTAGAAAAATGAAAAAACAAAGTTGTTAGTCAACCTTTTGTCCTTTGGTATTCTTTTATAATATAATACACTCGTGTCTAGTTAAAATAGCAAGGTTAAATATATATAGAAGACAATGTAGAGTTGTAAAAATGACTGAAGCTTTTTAAAAACAAAACAAAACAAAAAACCCTTTATTTGCCATACTAATCCTAAACTGGGCTTCCCTTGTGGTTCAGCTGGTAAAAAATCTGCCTGCAATGTCAGAGACCTGGGTTTGATCCCTGGGCTGGGAAGATCCCTTGGAGAAGGGAAAGGCTACCTACTCCAGTATTCGGGGTCGCAAAGAGTTGGACACGACTGAGTGACTTTCACTATTCACACTAATCCTAAACCATCTATTTTCCTGAACTACATAAACCAGACACAGAAGTCATTAGTATTCTAGCCAGTGCTGAGCCATTAAATGAAATGTGCTGGAAAATAGGACTCTTTCATTAAATAAGCTAATCACATTCAGTCTGAACTTTAATAAAATTATGATAAATAGGAACTATTTAACTACAGTCAACTGATAAGAACACCACCTTGGTTCTCTATAAACATTTAAGTGAAACAGAATAAATTGTTCTACAAAATGCTGCAAAGTATTAGTGTCTTACCTGACAACAACTTTTCTCTGGGTTTGATCAATTTTGCAGTAGACCATTTTAGTTCTTACCGCTGGAAAAAAGATGTTTTACATGACTTATTATATGGAAAAAATTCTCAAGGAAAACAGCCTAAAACACGAAACTGTGACCAAGTAACCCATAATAAAACTTTACAGTTTCCCAACACTATTTTACAGACTGGCTCTCTGAAGCGCAGCAATATGATTCAACCAAAAGGAAGGCCACGTATTTGTCCTCTGGTTGCTGCACCTATCTGTATTAAATATCACATACGATTTTCAGTGAGAATTCTAGTGTTCCTCCTGAAATCACAGAACAGAGGAGGCGGGAAAGTTTCTTAATAAGGTATTATAGGACTGTTTCAGACTTAAGAGCATTTCAATGAAACAATGTCAATAGTTCTGTGCATTTTATTAATCTTAAAAAGCCCAGAAAAAAAATCCTAATTACATTGCACTTTATAAGGCAATTATTAAGGCTTCCCAGCCAACACAGGAGATGCAAGAGACATGGGTATGATCCCTGGGTTGGGAAAATCCCCTGGAGAAGGAAATGGCAACCTAATCCAGTTTCTTGTGTGGAAAATTTCCATGGATAGAGGAGCCTGGTGGGCTACAGTCCACAGGGTTGCAAAGAGTCGGACGTGGCTGAGCACAGTACACAATACAATTACTGGAGAAGGTGGTCCTATTCCTAGGCCAATCATAAAAAAGTGACAGTGGTTAGCATTTTCAGATCATTTACAATGTGCCAGGCACTGAGCTGGCACATGCATTAATTAATTTAATCCTCACAACCACAAATTAACTCCTACATTCATGTTTCACAGCTGAAGACCTAGTCTCAAACACAGGTTTATTATTAAAATCTAGGCTCTTAACCACTACAATATACTGCCCTAAAGGCCTTCTGTTCTACATGACTTCAAGGAATAGATACACAACCAAAACCACATGTGCTCAGTCGTTCAGTCGTGTCCAACCCTTTGTGACCCTATGGATTGTGGCCTGACAGGTTCTTCTGTCCACGGAATTCTCCAGGCAAGAATACTAGAGTGGGTTGCCATTTCCTTCTCCAAAACAACCACACAGTAACTTACTGAATATATTCCCATTGAATTTTTACAGTATCACAATCTGCTCAACTACTAAACTCAGTTTCAAGATTAAAAATTTTATGTTTCAGAGGGTAGAAAGAAATTCTAGAAAAGAAAATGTTCAAACTGCCTTACCATCAATAACAAATGCTTCAACATCATCAGCTCCAATTTGAAGTTCTTGTTGCATTGTGTCAAAAGAAATTTCTTTATTTTCCACTGCCATTCCCATAAAAGTAAGCAGTCTCATTTTTGCCATATTCTGTTCATGTAGTAGGCCTGAGAAACACAGTAGTGAAGCCAGATAAGCATCCATACTAATTACAGCCCTGCATGACAACAACTCTCATGTAAAACTGTGTCACAATGTTAATTTTCACAAAGCTTTTTGCATTTGCAAACCATAAACTGACCCCATAATCATATTATGGAGCATTTAAGATTATTTTTCTATAACTACGTTTCTTTATTGCTTCAGTGCCACAGGTGACACATTCAATGTTAAGATCAGGCTATAAAATATTTTTAGGCCATAAACATTTTGTACATTTTCTATTTTTAATATTTATTTTATATATTTTAGGAGATAAAGTATATAAAATACGTTTCATAAGAACATTCTAATTTAACTAAATTACTTAAAACTTATTTTTACTAATAAGCTCTCCACTTAAACACAGAATTCTGTATCTATTGATATGGTTTTCTCTGTTACTGGTAAGCATGGAGTTTTAAAATATTTTAACATACATTCAGTTATGAAAACATTAAATTTCCCTTTAGGCCACTCTGGATTTAATACTTAAAAATCAAACTGCAAAAGTGTATTTAACATTTACAGGTTTAAAATGATTAGTACTGGATAAATTAATAGTGATACCTGTTCTTTTTAAGGCAAAAGTAGAAAACTACAAATAATTCAAATTTTGCCTTATAATTTCTAATGAAATATTATTACAATTATTTGGATCACAAACAATTGTCAGATCTAAAAGCAAATTACCTAGTCCCCATCCTCTCTCTAAAAAAATTAAAATTGAAGAGTAAAGAGATTAAGTGACTTATTAGTTATGAAGTGGCAGTACTAGGCCTAAAAAATAAGTTAATTTACAAAATAACTAGAAATACAAATATATACAAATCCTGAATACCCAAATTATCTATTCCTAAATAGAAACTGAATTATAACACACAGATTACTCTATTTCATGTTAGTTTCTTAAAACATTTCTAAAGTTAATTTAGAAATACTTACACGTTCCTTTTCTCTGAACTTTCAGATTATGTAAACTCAGCGAATGACCCTCTCTAGTAATTAAGAGCCTCAAGTTTGTACTGGTAAAAAAGTTCTAAGTACTCCATAAATAAATTTGAAATTTATAACATAATATTAGCAGAAGACTAGGGAAGCCCATTAATATAGGACATAATTGTTAATTAGCTGTAATTATGATGCAGGCTTTCTATTTGGCACAGATTCAACAAAAACATGATCATCATAACTCAAATGAATGAGGTACCCAAGTAAGTATTGCTAAGCAGGTTTAATGGAAATCTACAAGCATCAAAAAATCAATTAGTGCACATTAACCCTAATTAACAAATGCAAATTAGATGCTGATTAACTTTCCGAAGCAAGAAGGTAGCAACTGGACAACACTAGATTACATGTGGACATGTTAGGGCAATTCAGTTGACACAAGATAGTGCTACTGTTGGCCCAACTTGTCAGTGTTAATAAAACAAAGTGTTTTGAGAATAACTGATGCCACCTGTAGAACCTATCCATTTATAACCAGACTTTCAGCTGTAATAATACATTTAAAACCCAAAAATAAACATTTAATAAGATGTTTTTCTCCAAAACATCTTTTACAAATTACTAATAAATGATTGCTAATTTGCATATTGTGAGAAACAAAAGGCCAAACAGGGAATCTGATTAGTGGAAATTGTTATGTTTTTCCTATCACACAGAAGAAATACAAAGTTTATTTGTATACAATATTTGTCAATACAAGAAAATTCCTTAATATTACTAGTTCTATGGACATACATATTGTTCTCTTTTAATATGATAAAATGACAAATTCCTAAAATTTCTAAGATATAATTTAAAATACTCGTGAAGTTAAATTTATTTTACTGCTACTCCTTGTGCAGTTACAAGCTTACCATAAATCAAAAAATTTATCAGAGGAGGGAAGATTATTTCTCAAATGAATTATGTAAAACCATGGTCTATCTAACACATGGAAATCTGCATTTAAAAACACTTCAAACTGATGTTTAACATAAAACAAAGAACCAAATTGAAAGCCTTTAGGATTCTTGTTCTCAAAATCAAAGCATTAGGCCAGTAGGGTGTGAGTTAAAGACTTGCAGGAAGCTGTGCTTTGTTTCATGAAAGTAGATTACCTTCAAAGAGGAAGTCACAGTGTTCTGTGTCATATTTCAATTTTAAAGTTATAAAAAAATCTAATTTTATGGAAACATTTATTCATTACTAATATGTCAAAACCTTAATGCAGTAATAAAAAAATGTGCATCATTGAGCAATTTCTGCATTGTCACTGACCCCTGTCAAAATGCTGCAATACAGAAAACGTAATTTTAATGCATGCAATAGCTTATGAACCAGTGCTCCTTTGAAACAGTCAATTACACATCAATGGGGGAGTGTCAAAGTGTTAATTACTACTCCTTTTTCTTTGGTGCGTAAATAAAGAGGTTGCTGACATTAACATTCCATCACATAGCTTCATGCCACAAAACAAATTAACTGGGACAGAATGTGGTTTTCTGGGTCTAGTGCACCTGGCAAAGCATTGAACACAAACACACTTGCATCTACTTTATCTTGGTGTATTTCAAACGCCTTATTATGTTCAGAATAATTCAATCTTCCCTAATTCCAATGGCTGCACAGAAGTTACAGGTGACAGGAATTAATGATTACCAAATTGGGGACTAATAGTATAATCAAAGTAGATTATAAATGTATTCTTTATCTACACTTCAACCAACCAGGAAGACCAAATTCAATTTTAATATGGAAAATTACAACTGGCCTTTGTGTTCTGATCATCATCCAGTAGAAAAACTAAGCACTTTAGCTTCATTTTTCTTTACTCTCTAAAAACGGAGTTTTAGAACAATTAAACCTGTTCAACTACAGATTTTCTAAGGTTTCTCTTTTTAATTTTGGCCATGTTAAAAAACATGCTCCAGAAAGAAAACACTGAATATATATGCAGTCTGCTCAATGAGGATGAGTAAGATTCAATTCAGCAACATTTACTGAACTCTGTTGGTCTAGAAAGAAAACTTGAAGATAAAAATCACAAAGCTTAAATTTACTATGCTGTCTTCAACAAACTGTCATACCAAATCACCATAACTCCACTTCTAACTTCATCTATAGCTTCAATTAGATCTGCCTTTGTTCACTGGGGGCAGTGATGGAAAACCAAGTGTAAAAGACTATATTAGAAGGAAAAAAGCTATCTGCTACAATTATGTGACTGTGGCTTTTTAAAAGAAGTATCAAAAATTTAAATCACCATGCATCTAAGGAATAAGATACACTGCTGGTTAGGTAATCTACACATAAAGCCACAATCGTATTTTCTGGATCATACATTCCTGTCTCTCCCTACCCCTCCAAAGAATAATCCCCAAAACTTACCAAGTGAATCAATGAAGTCTTTATTATTCTGATAAAACTTGACATATGATGCCAATTTAGCACTCACAAAAATGGTTAAAAGCTATACAAATAAAGACAAAAAAAAGACAATATTTAATACAGAATCAAGATTTATACTAGCTATTTAAGACACTGACTCCCAGTAAGGAGACTCTCTACATTTCAATCTGTTTGATCAAATTACCATGTAAATCTGCTTTCATCAAATTCACTTAAGATGAAAGAATCAGTAAATACAATGAGCTCTAAACGATTTATCCCAAAAGATGGCAGTAATGATGTAGTACTAATAGAAAATAATCCATAATGTATTTATAACTAGAAAAGTGCATGTGTTCTTAAATATCAGATTTATTTTCCTAATTGGGGGCTAGCTGACACTATATAATATGAAGGAATTTGTATTCTCCAAGTTCATAATGGAGAAGATGAAGGAAATGAAGGAGTGTTCAGCAGTGGAGAAAAGCTAAATGTTAGTCCTAAATTTCAGTCTGTTCCTGATAAAAAATAAATAGTTTTCTTTCTAGATTTCTGAGTTGTGTCTATTAATACAAAGAGTTCTGGGTTCAGTGTGTTAGATTTAGAAAAAAACACTTTTCACATTAAGGATAAACTACTTACATCATGAATAAGCTCGCCTTCCAAAAATTTGACTGGTTTTAAAGTAAGAAGATGGTCAAAAAGGAATGCATTTGGATCTTTCAATGCTCGCACAATACACCTTAATTAGAAAACAAAATCAAAGCTTAGAGTCTTGAAATTCAGGTACATTTCACTAGCTTTGCAGACTATAAAATATATTCAATTAAGTGAATTATCTAAGAGTTCAATATACATGGTATAAAAAAAATTTACAAAACTGGGGTTAAAACAGGCCAATAAATTGATCAGTGATGCCTGTTTTAACAAAATTATTCAGGCAAAAACATAGTTGAAGAGAAAGCACCACCAAAATAATCAAAGAATAAAACAGCAATATTTTACCATTTATGTCAGACATTAAGTGCTTTAACATGTATTATCTCATTTCATCCTCACAGCACCCTGAGACACTTAAGAGTATTATCATGCTCACTTTACCAAAGATGAAACAAGCTCAGAAAAGAACTTGCCTGATTTTAAGGGCTAATTAAGTGGTTAAGTATTTGAATGTAGGCATTCTAACCTGAGTCAATAACGATCTTTTCCACTAACTTAACCTTTCTACCAACATCCATCATATACAGGTTCTTGGGAAGCAATAACCCTATGAAGAAATTACAATTTCCATTCCACAGAGTTAAAAAACTGATTCTACTCTTATCGATATTAATAGACCTAAAACTGCTTGAAGCAGTTTTTGTTAGCAATGTTAATTTTTATACAAATCCAACCTTCCCGCATCAACATTCCTTAATATTAAGGTAAAATCAAACCAAGATCAAGTTCTACTACTCAGGTTGGGAATCCCAATTGCAGGAATACCCCAAATAGCAAACACTATATGGCTATTTCACATGCATTCTATGGTTCTTTCAATACCAAATCTTGAATTTTGGTAGCTACATTAGAATCCTCATGGAGCACATGCTATCAAATGGCTTTGGATCACTGGTGGATGCAAGCATGACCTCCATTATATGACTGAATACTGTAGCTTGCCTCTGCCCCGACGACAACAGCCATCACTGGAACACCAAGCTAAACATTACCTGTGGGCATCAACTCGAGCCTGGGAAGCATTGTCCTCCGTGTAACTGCCTAACAACTCCACCATAACTTTTGATGCAGCGTCACTAAAAAGAAATACAACTTTAGGAACTTCAGAGTATCATTACTGCCATTCATTAAAAAATATTTACTAAGTGTCAATACTGTGTTGATGATACACATATATTGGTGACCAAGAGACACAGTTCTTCTCTATGGAAAGTATGGAACTTTCCTTCTAGTAGGAAAGAGAAACAACTAAGGAAAAATAACAACTTACAAGTATGTGCCATAAAGGAAAATGGTGATGTTATACACTAATGAGAGTCGAGAGAGGAAAGAGGAGGCTATTTCATACAGAATGAGCAGGGAAAGTCTCTCTCTGAGGAAATGACATGTAAGCCGAGATCTGAAGGATGTAAAATAATTGGCTATGAAGAGTATTGGAGGTGGAAGGCTGGGCCTGGATGACTTTCCAGGCAGAGAAGACAAGCTATAAAAAGCCCTAGAGGAGAAAAAAGCTTTTTTTGTCTGAGAAACTAGTAGCATAGTACAGCTGAACCTGAGCCAACACCAGACATAAGTAACTCCACTAATGACATCCTTCCAATTAATCACCCCCAGAATTATATGATCAATTTTGACTGCAGTGAAAAAGTACAAAATAATTAAATGCATCACTCAATCTGAACTTAGAAAATGTTTATCTTCACCCTTTATTTCTTCTTTTAAACTGATGAAATCTTCAGCCAGTTACAGAAAGTTTCAATTTGCTAAGTAGGAGAAACACCCTTTTCATTTTCTAAAAACCTTTCTTTTCTCCCCACATCTGGATTCAACCTGGATAAAATGAGTAGGAGCTATACCATTTATTTTTAAAAAGTTAAATGACATTCTAAAACTTCGCACAAAACTAAGGTTAAAATGTATTACCTTGTAGGGGAGTGGGAGGAAGGCTCACAGGGAGAGGATGCATACACTTATGGCTGAATTCGTGTTGTAAGGCAGAGACCAGACAACACTGTAAACAATTATCCTCCAGTTTAAAAAACAAATGACTAGCTTGTGATACACTGCAAGCATGGGCACACTTTCCAGTTTTAACAGCCAAAGTATACTTCAGTCGAATACATCTTATCAGTTAAAGAAAATCTGAATTCACAAAGATCAGACAGTCCATTTAAAGAGCACGGTATCTGACATAAAATAAGGCCTCAAAAGGTGTCACACAATTTACACTCATCAACCACCAATATAAATAAAATCATGAAGGGAGGCACCAATAAGTGTAAACATTTCTTACTAAGAGGGCAAGGTAACACCCAGAATTCTACTTAGAAGCAGAAACAACAAAAAGACCATTTTCTGTGTACTAGGCAAAAACCAAATCCTAAAACTTAAAGCAGCAGCATGACAGAAATTTATAGAGTTGAAATAACTATCCTCTCCTAGTTCCCTATGTGTGGGGAGCATTCACCGACTCAGGGCCCATCACTGCCCAACACCTTGGGGACACAATGGTGGACAGACAAGGTTCCTAACCTTCGCTGAGCCTTTGTTGCCTTGGGGTTGCTTAGTCACTAAGGCGTGTCCAACTCTTGCTATTCCACAGACTGCAGCCCGCCAGGCTGCTCCGGCCAATGGACTTCCCAGGCAGACACTGGAGTGGGCTGCCATTTCCTTCCCTGAGGGATCTTCCCGACCAGGGATCAAACCCCCGTCTCTCGTGTCTCCTGCACTGGTAGCTGGGCTCTTGACCAGCGCCCCACCGGGGAAGCCCTCGCTGAGCCGACCACCTCATAAACCTCTTACCTGAGGGTATGAAGTGCCATGATAACCGGAGGGCACTGGGAATACAGGAGGAGCATTTCAGGCTGAGTAAAGGAGTTGAGTGTGGGTCTAGACCAAATATAGGTCAGCTTTCCACGAAGCACCGGGCAATAAATATTTTAGGCTTTAGAGGTCAGTCTCTACCTCAACTATTCAAATCTTGGCGAAAGCAGACATAGATAATACATAAAAATGTAAATATGGGTGTGTTCCAATAAAATTTTATGGATACTGAAATTTGCATTTCATATAATGGCCACATTTCAAGAAATAGCTTTCTGACCCCCCCACCCCCCCACCATTAATCAGTTAAAAATGTAAAAATCATTCTTAGCTTATAGATCATACAAGAACAAGTACCAGCCTCCTGGTCCAGACTGGGAAAAAGCATAGCGCTTTTGTATCTGACACAGTTCACTATGTCTAGAGTATGATAACCAAGAGGAAGAGTATGTGGGTGTGGATGTTCGTAAAAGCAAGCAGGAGAGAAATGGAGGGAGGGAGTATCTATATAGAGAAAGCAAAGTTTTTGTAGTTTGTCACTGCACCACACAAAAATGGCAAGATTATTATCACATTCGCCAAGTCCACACTACAGCAATAAATGGAAGCCCATGTCTATATCATACTAAGAATTTTGTACTGTATGCTAAAGAAAATGTAAACCTAAAGAATGATATGCTGAAATTTTTGTTTCACAAAATCACCGTAAATTGAATAAACAGAAGATGAATTCAAGATGTCTAGCTAGGAAAACAGACTAATTCAGAGGGAGAAAATGGTCATTCATTTTGGTCATACTGAGTTTGAGGCAACTGTGTGTGCTTAGTCACTCAATCATGTCTGACTGTTTGTGACCCCATGGACTGTAGCCCACCAGGCTCCTCTGTCCATGGGGATTCTCCAAGCAAGAAAAATGGACTGGGTTGCCATGCCCTCCTCCAGGGGATCTTCCCAATCCAGGGATTGAACCCAGGTCTCCCGCACTATAGGCAGATTCTTTACTGTCTGATTCACCAGGGCAAGGCCACAACTAAACAGAAAGAGGTGGAAAGCAGCTGAACATAAAGACCTAATCAGAAGACAAGCTGGGTTGAATGCCTCTGGGAAGGGTATACACACTATAGTTCCATAAACTACCACTTCATATTGCCTTACGTCACTGCTTCTTACATCTACTGCTTTTTCTACATGTTCGTTTTTCAGAAATAGTCATCATTCACCTAGCACCTATTTACTGAGTGCCTGGTCTTGTCAGACACTGTCCTAGCAATGAACAAAAAGTTACGGCCCTTGTCAAACTTACATCCTGGTGGGGACTGACATAATAAACATTAAAACATAGCAGTTAGTAGTAAGTGCAATGGGAGCAATAATAAAAGAGGGAAGGTGGGGGGAAGCAGTGCAAGGGTAGAGGAATGCTGTTATTTTCACAGACAGCCAAAGAAGGCCTTTCCAGTGAGGTAACAACTGAGCAGATCTGAAGAAGGGAGTTGGGAATGAAGCACAGACTCTGGACAGGAGCCCCAAAGTCAACTGAGAAAGCGTTTCTCCAAGGAAAGAATGCTCACCTGTGACAAATGCTGCAGGTATTTCTTAATACGTTAACCTTAGGGTGTGTCTAGGAGAGGACAGATGGGTACTGATGTCCTATCTCAATTTCTCTGAGAATTAGCTTTGGGATTCTTTAGAAGGTGACCTTAGTTACTTCCTTTTTATGCATAAAACACTGAGGATCTACTAAATAGCAATTAGAGACTACCCAATGAGTAGTCATCAATGACACATCATTTTAAATGACTGTACCAGAAAAAGACTAATTTTTTAAAGATGAGCTTGAAAAAAGTGAAAAGGATAATGATAGGAATAAAATACCTAATATTCACTGAGTGCTTTCTTAATAGTAAAACCACTGTTTTAAGAACTTCGTGTAAAAAAAAAGAACTTCGTGTATATATTACTTAATCTTTCCAATAATGCTATTAGGTACATACTACTATTATTTCCACCTTGAAGTTGGAAACTGAGGTATAGAGATTTATTTAAGGTTATAGAGCTAGCCTGGAGGTTCAGATGGTAAAGAATCTGCCTATAATACAGGAGACCCGGCTTTGATCCCTGGGTTGGGAAGATCCCCTGGAGAAGGGAATGGCAACTTACTCTAGTATTCTTGCCTAGAGAATTCCATGGACAGAGGATCCTGGCAGACTACAGTCCATGGGATTGCAGAGTTGGACATGACTGAGCAACTAACACATAGCTAGTAGGAAGGCCAAGGTTTGAATCCCAGTAGTTTTATTCCACTGCCTGCACATTTATAGTGTATATTAAAATATGGATTCTTTCTGCAGTAGCTTTCATGCCCTCCCTATTTGAAATGGTATAATATAAAACTATTTAACACTTACTCACAACTGGCTGGAATGTTGCCACAAGTATGCAAGCACATAACAGACAGTAGCCACTGATAGAAGATGAAATAGGCTATTAATGCAAAATCCCCTGCTTGCTTCTTATAATAAAACACTTCAACTTTCACAACAAAAATAGAATTTTCTCTTGTATTGTTAAATGTAAATGGTATGCAAAAACTTACATTAACAGAAACACTATTACTAATCTTTTCTAATATATGAAACACCCTAGCACTGAAAGCCACTAAAAATTGTGCAATAAAACTAAACTGAAGACTGATTACTTGTTCTGAAAGTTTTTAATCACTATGTGAAAACAGAAATTGAAAAGTTAGGTCAAAATGGCAGGATTATCCTTCAATACTGATTCTAAAAACTGGGCCAAATCTATCATTTGGTTGCATCCATAATTGGAGGAGGAATAAATCTTTTGGGCATGCAGATTGCTGGGCTAAATACAAGCCTTAGAAACTCAAGACCTTGCAAAAGCACAATAAGATTTTGTACAGTCTATTGCAAAGTTGGGCTTCCTTGGTAGCTCAGATGGTAAAGCGTCTGCCTGCAATGTGGGAGACCCGGGCTCAAACCCCAGGTCGGGAAGACCCTCTGGAGAAGGAACTGGCAACCCACTCCAATATTCTTGCCTGGAAAATCCCACAGACAGAGGAGCCTGGTGGGCTACAGTCAATGGAGGCGCCAAGAGTCGGACATGACTGAATGACTAACACTTTTCTTTCACTTTCATTGCAAAGCTCTACTGTTTATGTGAGAGACACTGACTAAGGGAGACTGACTGATAGACCCTCGCCACCATTAAACAAAAGTGACAGCACTACCCTGTACTAAGACAGCAAAGCTTAGTCTAATTAAATAAATTAGTCTAATGTTACACCAGCTTTGGGATTAACAGCTGTACCAGTTTTAGGAAAGCAAGTTCTGCTTTTTAGAAAGTTTAAGGATGGGAAAAACTGTTCCAGCCTTTGCAGTTATCTTTAATTTAGTAGGTGAAATTTACAGAAAGAGAGTTATAGCAACTCCTTAGAGAACAAAATAAGAGCAAAAGCACTTATCCTACTTGTCTTTAAAAAACAGTCCCAACTTATATTGCCTGTTAAGTCAGTATATTAATTCTCAATACCTTTTCTTACAATCCACAAGTGCCTCATAAAGTAGTCTTAAAAGGGTGTGTTTTTTTTCAGTGGTGAGGTTCCAGTCAGAAATCCATTTTCTAACCTACAACGAGATTGATAAAAGGAGAAAATTTCGTGACGTGGTGAATATATTTGCTTCTTATTTCATTTTTTGCTTCTTATTTCTTATAAGCAGAACAAGTATTCCACATCATAACTCACTTGATCCAGCTCAGTTGGAATATACTGGATGGCCCCACAAGATGCTGCCACTTTAATGAGGCTGCAATATACTGTATATCTTACAGGAGTATTCTTGTCCATCCCATGGAAAAGGTTGCTTAGCCTGGTAAACAAACAAATAATAAAGCAGTGCTTGCGATCAGTGACTATGGTGAGTACATTGAGGCCATCTGCTCTGACAACAAACTTCAGAGATACTGTTACGAACATTACATTGCAAGGAGGGAAATGGGGCCCAAAGACACACCACCAATAAGTCATAGCTGAGAGTCAAGTTTTAGAATTCTTTTTACAAATAAATGACAGTAACACAAAGAACCCCTCGCTTTTCTATGAAAAGCCCATAGAAAAACTGAGCCTCTTTCAGTTAACTTACAACTGCAGTCTCAGAGATGGACGTTCACCTTCCCGGAATTTGACCAGTTTCTCACACAGGCTTTCAATCAGAGCTTCTTGCTTATCTGGTTCCAGGATCAACAGGAGGGATACCACGCTGTTCATCACACTTTCAACATCTACACATGTATGGATGACACAACAGTGATACTGTAATATTTAATGTATCGAGTTAAATATGTATTTCCAGAATTTTAATATACCAAAGACCACTGAACATAAAACTTTAAAAAACTAAAAAATAGAGAACACATGAATTTAAAATAACCAGCTCTGTTGTACCATTATCATTCGGAAAGCAACTTACACATTTTATTAAATGAGGAAGAACTTACTACCCAAGATTTGATTTTCAACCAGTAAAACAGAAGACTGATTTACACGTTCATATAGTATACAGTTACAGTTTTTACTGGCAGGATACTAACTATATGCCAAGTTTAATCTCAGACCTTAATCAGAGATTTTAGGACTCCTAATTTTCAAAATTTCCCATTTTATCTCAATAAATAGAGAATTAGTCAAATAATTAGCTTTTCAATTACCTAAAATAACATCCCATTTGATAAAGTAAACCTTATGAAGAGATTCGTATTTTTTATTCCGTTCATTCTGAAATTACCAGTATTTACTGTGTGCAATAACACTCAAAAAAAGAAGGAAAGTTATGGCCAACCTAGATAACATATTAAAAAGCAGAGACATTATTTTGCCAACAAAGGTCTGTCTAGTCAAGGCTATGGTTTTTCCAGTGGTCATGTATGGATGTGAGAGTTGGACTGTGAAGAAAGCTGAGTGCTGAAAAATTGATGCATTTGAACTGTGGTGTTGGAGAAGACTCTTGAGAGTCGCTTGGACTGCAAGGAGATCCAACCAGTCCATCCTAAAGGAGATCAGTCCTGGGTGTTCACTGGAAGGACTGATGCTGAAGCTGAAACTCCAGTACTTTGGCCACCTGATGCAAAGAGTTGACTCATTGGAAAAGACCCTGATGCTGGGAGGGATTGGGGGCAAGAGGAGAAGGGGACGACATAGGATGAGATGGTTGGATGGCATCACCGACTCGATGGACATGAGTTTGAGTAAACTCCGGGAGTTGGTGATGGACAGGGAGCCCTGGTGTGGTGCGATTCATGGGGTCGCAAAGGTCAGACACGACTGAGCGACTGAACTGAACTGATGATTAGTGATAATACAAAAAAATTAAAAACAAACCTTTATCATCTTCCTTCAAACATACATCACAGGCTTCAATAATCTGAGCTAAATCTACATGCAGTCCACCTTCTGAGTTCTCTTCTGAAATTTCAGCTCCTTTAGATTTCAAGTAAGCACGAAGCTCAGCAGCCTGTTGAATCAAATAAGATTGCTCTATAAGATGAACTATGAATTACAAAAGGCAAGATCTAAAAGCATTCTGTCCTATTTCTTAAAAAAAAATAAAATGTGAATACCACATTTAACGATGACTTTAAATTACGTTAAAGTTTCTCTCCCCTAGCTTATCCACCATCAGTCTCAAAGGTTTTCCCAAACAAGTAGCTACACAGACCCACTATGACCCCCACACTGATCACCTTCAGAATTTCTCTCTCATCACCTATATATTCTGCTGGACTTTCAGTATACAGCAAAAGCCTTTCTAACATAACCCAAGCTTTTGGGGGGGGGGGGCAAGTGGGGAAAGGGAATAATTGATCTGTTTTAAAGAAATGAAATTTTATTGCTCTCAGGTAACACAAATAATTTAAAAACTTACAGACATTACCCTGGTAAGGGAGTAATCATTTGCTAAGTAAATGCTTGAGGACCTATCTGCGATAAGCACTGAGAGACACAAAAATAAACAGATGCCTTTGAGTGTCGCCCTTAACATAATGTTTCTATCGAACTGCATCTATGATGTAATCGCTCTCTTAAAATGCACACCTGGATCAGAAAGCACTGTTGGACCTATAAAAACATAACTATAATACCACATCCAGGTATTTAGAAATTTTCTACTCTAACGCACACATAATACTTAATAACTTATTCTTTTGAGGACTTGGATTTATGGCAGCCACACCTGAATGTAAACAGTGTTTAAGATAATAAAGAACTGAAATGGAGATGTAGGGACACCATTAGCACACGTACAGGCATCACATTTCTAATTCCACAGCTATGTCTGGCTACTTAAGTATATGAAACCTGTAGATCTGATGGTGCAATCTTTTCAGATAACACAGAAACTTCATAAACAAATTTCATAAAACAAATCTCACCATTTCAGAGCACTAAAATATCACTGTATATTTCTCTATGAAGGAGACATAGTATGCCACGCCCCCCCCCCCCCCAAGCATTTATTTAAGCAAACTATTCAATCAACACTAGGCTGTTTTCATCTGGTATTCCTACTGGCCACAGGTGGTTACTAACTTGACGGAAGTTAAATTCCTGAAGCGATCATCTATTTACCCAAAGGGAATGGCCAGGGTGAAACAAGAACAGTAGCATAACCTAACTAGAAAAGACACTTTAATATAATCAATGGCAAAATCTTCCTGCATCAACAACCCTTTTCCATTAAAAAAAACAAAAACAAAAACCAAGTAACTTCATTTTCCCAGTAACCTAATAGCCTAGTGTTGATAACATGATTCCATTTCTCATCAGATAGGCTTTTTTTCCTTCCACATCTTTTCTAATAATGCTCAACTCCTTCCCTAGCTTCCCCCCACCCCCCATCTCTCTTTCCCTTACTCTGTTCTTCAGGACTGAAAGTTATTTTAGACTAGTAATGTTTTCTCTTCTATCGAAACCAAAATTTCCATCTTAGTAGAGTAGCAAAAAACCACAAAATGACAACACTTGGAATAGTTTTCAGTACTGCAAAATTAAGAGAAACTCACTTCAAGTTTAGTTCAACTTGAACTTTAAACTTCTCAGTTTAAAATGAGAAGCATTACCCATGCATTCATACAAAAGAGCAAACAGAAACTTAAAAATATTAAGACCGTTCACCAGGTGTATGCCTCAAAAGCCTGGGGGTGGAACTGACGGTATGCTTTCAGAACTCTCTTGCTCAAGTAAGAGAATAAAATACAGTCTACATACGTTCGCATAGTAGAAAAGCCATCTTGATCTTTAGTACCAAATGATTTTTCCCTGAACTGCTTACGCCGTCCGAAGAGTCGCCACCTCCCACTCCGGATGTGGCTGCATTTCGGGCACGGAAGCAGATACCCTTCTCAGTGAGTCAGAAGTACTGTGTCGACAGACAGAAGTGACCCCAAGCTGGAAGAGTCCTGACGCCGACCAGGAAGTAGGCCGTCGAGCCTGGGACCAGCGCTGGGAGCGCCGGCGGGCGGGCTGATGCAACTCCAGACCCGGAACGTGCGCCCCTGCTTCTCGGCCTGCCCACTCCCGGGTGCGCAGGACACAACGGCGGCTCCGGGGTTGGCTCCGCGGGGCAGCGCTCCGCCCGCCTGGCCCGGGCTCAAACCCGACTCGGCCCCTCACATCCCTGAGTCTCCTCCCACCTCCCACCCTGGCGGTATCCGCGGCCCAGGAGCACACCTGATCTTCCTCGCTGATGTCGATGAACGCCGGGACACTCATGGTGAAGGCCCGGACACCGTGGACGTTCCACTCGCAAACCACGCCGACCGGAAAAGGGAGCTGGGCCGCGCGGCGGCGCCTCACAAACGCTTCCGGGTCACCCATCGCGGGTCTTGTGGGGCGGGGTCATCGACAGGGGCGGAACCACGGAGACCAATCCCAGCACGCATTCTGGCTGGGGGCGGGGCAGGGAGGAGCCAGGGCACGCCCAAAGGGCCACCTTCCCGGACCTCCTCCTGCCGCCTCTAACTTCGGTAGCTGGGTACCGGGCTGGGTAGCAGGCTGTCTTTCGAGTTACTGCTGCGTTTGTGGCTCGCGGAGCCTACCTAGCATTTTGAAATTTTAAGCCAATTTTTTTTTCGACTTCTAATTTAACCCACTTTTAAACTTTTATTGAGGGACTATCTAGCAGGCAGCGCTCTCTGCCCTGGGGATAACAGTAGTTTTCAAGGTAAACTCCCGCCTCGGCAGCTTACATTGAGTGAGGCGCACAGAACACAAGAGTAAGAAGTAATTAGAAAGGCTCTCCTGGACGGCATCCTGTTTTACAGCACAGGCTGCCGAATCGAGTTTTCAGGGGTGGAATCCCTGCTGCAGCGTTTGATGGATTTGTGATTTGGGGTAATTGCTTAACCGCCGCGTTTCATCTTCCTGTTGGAAAAATAAAATCAAGTACTTACCTCATAGTGGTGTTGAGGACTAAGTAAATTAGTAAATAAAGCAATTAAAACGCGGTGAACTCTGTATGTCTTAGCTGTTATTCAATAGTCACGTAACTTGCAGTATTACGAGAAGAGCAGAGAAAGGAGTGGTGTGTGTATGATTGTGTGTGCATGCCTTTTAAGATAGAGTGAGCAAAGAAAATGGATCAAGTATTAAGGAGAACTGAAGGAAATGAGGAAAGTACCAATAAACAAATCTGCAGGAAACCTGTTTATGCAGAAGACATCCAGGAAAGGACTTGAAGCAGGTGCAAGGAATGTGTCTATTTTGGACATTCCGTGTAAGTGGAAACATAACAATATATGACCTATGTCTGGCTTTTTTCATTTAGCATGTTTTTGAGCTTGTAGCATGTGTTAATCCCTCATTCCTTTTTATTGCTGAATAATATTCCATTGTTAAGCACATACCACATTTTGTTTATCTGTTCATCAGTCGGTGCACATTTAGGTTGTTTGCATTTTTTGGCTACTATGAATAATGCTTCTAGCAACATTCATGCACAAGATTTTGCATGAATATGTGTTTATATTTCTTTTTCCTTGGAGTAGAATTGCTAGCTTATATGTTAACTTTATGTTTAGCTTTTTGAGGAGCTATTTTCCAAAAAGGCAACATCTTTATTTTTAATAGTCCCAAATAAGAAACAACAAATGTTCATCAACGGGTCAATGGATGGAGTTTCCTGGTGGTCCAGTGGTTAGGATTCAGCACTTGCACCACCATGGCTTGAGTTCAACCCCTGGTCGGGGAACCGAAATCCCACAAGTAGCATAGCATGGTCAAAAAACCCCCCAAAACACAGGTGAATGGATAAACAAGTTGTTATATATTCATGTAATGGAATACTGCTTCACAATAAAAATGATGAAATATCAATACATGCAACAATATGGATGAATCAAAATAATTTGTTGTGTGAAAGTAGCCAGACATACTGTATAATTCCACTTATTTAAACCTGTAGAAAATGCAAACCGAAGCAGCAGTACTGTAGAGTGTTGTTGCCTAGATGAGGAGGACTAATATTTAAAAATAGTATCTCGGTCAAATTAGTTTTTAAATGAATCAAAAAAAATTTAGCTTTATTTTGTTAAGCAAAATAAATGCTCTGTGGGCTTTTTTTTTTCCTTTTTAAGGGAGACAAGTCTCTTTAACTTAGACAAGTGGCACAAGAAATATTGTCTATTTTTCTATTAATTGCGTATTTCATATATCCCAAAGTTTCAGATAAAAAGTTTGGCACCAGTTGAAGATATTTGGAGCCAGCTGAAATTTGAACAGGCCAATTTCAACTTGATCCTATGCCCAAAACTAAAATACAGGTCAACTGGTGTGTTAAAGGCAATAAGATGAGTTGTCATTTATCCTGCCACAATAGCAACCCATTATTATTGTATCCTATTCTTTAATAGAGTTTCTTAAAATATACCTCGAAATTTTCAAAAAGTGTATAACAAGAAATTGAGTAGATCTCCTATCTTCTAATAGGCAATAATTATCTAGCTGATTTTTTTATCTGAAAAAATTCAACCAAATATTTTATAGTTTTTCTTTATTTAATTTGTCTGCTTTCCCTCTAGTAATATCTCTTTGTTCTTTCTAATTAAAACTTCTGGAAAACCTAGGTTTAACTATATTTTTAATTATCTTATTTGAAAGGACCATGTTAATATAGTCACATGAAATTTTATCATTGGAACAAAATTACATATTTTGCAAGAAGAATGCTTTGTGTGATATTGATACCCCAAATTTGTCTTCATTTGTATCAAGTATCTCAAAACTATGGAATTATTCATCTGATAAATAAAAGTATATTTTTATGCTAAAATAGTACATGTAGTTGATTACCTAAATAGTAATGCTATATTTTAAAGGTTAACCCATTTGAAATGGGCATTATTTATAATAATTACTCATCATTCTTTTACTGAATCAATATTCTCTGAACACTGAGAAGGTGGAAATGTTCTCATTATTTCATTCCTTCACTTATGGAAGTGGCTGATACAAAGAAAGTGTAATAAATATGTGTTATATTAGTGAATGATATCATAAAATTTAACTAAACTCACGTGTAATAGATCTCTGGTAATTGCTTTAAATTTAAATTTTGAATGAAAAATAGATGATTACAGCATTCTAGAAAGACATGGGAAAGAGTGAGGGAAAAAAGTCTGGCAAAGACTGCTACTTGTCAGCCTACTATCCATCCTCTTATTTCTTAGTTGCAAATCCTCCCTGTAATGTAGCTGTGGCAATGCACCCTTTCTTGCAACTAAATTTATCAGCCTTATGCCAGGGGTAGTCAATGAGATGTAAACGAAAATTTGGGGAGGAGCTTCTGGGAAAGCACTATAAACTGGCTTCCCTTCGGGCTCAGCTGGTAAAAAACCCGCCTGCAATGCGGGAGACCTGGGTTCAATCCCTGGGTTGGGAAGATCCCCTGGAGAAGGAAAGGCTACCCACTCCAGTGTTCTGGCCTGGAGATTTCCGTGGACTGTATAGTTCATGGGGTCGCAAAGAGACGGATACGACTGAGCGACTTTCACTTTCACTTTTCAGTCTGGAAGCTGACTCTTTTGTCCTTAGCTTTTTCTCTTTCTTAGGGCCTAAAAACACATGTGCTCGATGGTGGGAGTTTCAATAACCAAACTAAGACCAAGATATGATCTTAAAGGTAAAAGCTGTGATAATGGACAGGAAAGTTGGAAAAGCCTATATTCCTGATAACATCAGAAAGATGCAGTATCAGCCCGTGACCGCCTACGTCTAGACTTGTCTTGAAAGTCAAAGTGTTAGTCGCTCAGTTGTCTCCGACTCTTTGTAACCCTATGGACTGTACCCTGCCAGGCTCCTTTGTCCATAGGAGTCTCCAGGAAGAATACTGGAGTGGGTTGCAATTCCCTTCTCCAGGGGAGCTGCCCGACAAGGATCAAACCTGGGTCTCCTGCATGGCAGGCAGAGTCTTTACTGTCTGAGCCACCTAGACTTGTCTTACATAAGGGAAAAATAAACCTTCATCTTGTTTAATCTACCATTATCTTGGATTTCTCTCCTATTCAACTGAGTCTAATCCTGATGGACACAGAGAAAAAAGTTTGAAATCTAAAGTCATAATTTTGTAAATAGTTTATTTAAGTGTAAGTTAGCACATTTTTGTAATGTGTATTTATGGTGGGAATCTCTCTTAGGGTTACTGTGGTATAGCACTGAATTTACTTAAGATCTCAGAGATTTATAACTAATAATTAAATTTTATACTAGTGATGCAACATGTGATTATAGTGACTTTGTAGGTGAGACAACTAATGTTTAAGCCTGTTAACTGGTGGCCTACTGAAATGTATTGTACCTGAGCTGTAGATTCAGCAATGGAACTAATACAGTGCCAGTGACCATTAGAAAACTTAATCTTCTCAATTAACTTCCCCAAATTCATAAGGCTAACTTCTTCATTTTACATGACAGTCAATAATTGAAGCATTCATAAATCTGTTGAAGCCAAAGAAGACACATTCATCATTTATGTTTTTAAAATAATTTCAAAAAGACATGACACCAGAGGGACAATCTTAATGTATTCATCAAGAGGCATATCATCTGCAAACCATGAGAATGCAAGGGTAGTTTTATGAGCTGATAATTTTTACATTTTGGGGAAAAAATTATTTTTAGATTCTATATAAGCCACACTAACCATAATTCATAATAAAATAAAATTTTATTGAAAGATGAGGCAACAGAGGCTCAGAGGAGTTAGGCAGTTTTGCCAGCCTGAGACATAGAGCATCAGTCAATATGGATTTTTATTCAAGTCTGTCTCACTTGAAAGTTGTTGCTCTTGCCTCTTTTTCTGTGGATTAGTGATGATTTTATTTCCAAAATAGGATGTAAGAGGTCTTTACCTGATGTGGAATATGTACTTTCAAAATAAACATTTGTATTGAAGTGTAACATGTTCAGAAAAATGTGCCAATCATAGTTTTATACTTTGCTGAATTATCACAGTGAGCATACACATGCAACCATTATCCAGGTCAGATAAAGAGCATTTGTTAGCCACTGGGGAAATACGAATTGAAACCAAAATAAGATATACTTTCAAATCCATAGAATAGCTGTGATATAAAAAAGACAGACAAGAACAAGTGTTGATGAGGACGTGGAGAATTTGGAACCCTCATACACTGATGATGAGAATGTAAAATGGTACAGCCACTCTGGAAAAGTCTGGCAATTTCTTAAAAGGCTAAACATAGAGTGGTCATATG